CATGATAGAAATAGAATAGGGGACTAGCTATAATTACAAGAAATATTAATCGTGAGCTCTGTTCACGGCGATTGTTCTGTTCTGAGTAGAGAAAGCGCATTTTAACGTGGCGGAGAGCTGTGAGCCCAGGACACAGGGGTTAACCTCGGAGGCAGGCAGTCCATCCTCCTTTCTCCTTTCCCTGAAGCTGCCTATCCCCATGGAAAGATTAGCAATCTTGTTGCTAAACAGTCTGGTCCTGGAGCACCCACCCTTTGCCAACGCCTGCCTTCCTCCCCTGCCCCCACAATGTGGAACCCCACCCACATGGCCTGTAGCCCTTGCTTACTTCCCCATGCCTGTAATTCTCACTTCCTATGTAATCTTTGTCCTTCGACCCGAGATAAGCGGCTGGATTATGGGGCGGGGAGCGCATATTTCTGTGGATGACCTGCTGCTCTTTTTGACTATCGATGGTTGAGGGACCAAGTCCCTCCCCACCACCCAGCCCTCTGAGGGTTCCCTGGGGCCTCTTAGGATCTCGGAAGGCCCCTGAAGAACCCCTGCTTTTTGGAGATCTCACCCCGGAGTGCACCAAGCACGTTAAAACACTCTCTCGTGCCACATCCAGTCCTCCCTCCTCCCATAAAAATAATCAGGTTTTAATAACTTTGCTTTTGAAATGATTTGGCTCTAAGCTTGTTTAATTTACGAGCGTCAGCGTTTCTTGGCCATTAGTATGCATACTAAGGAGTTCCCTTGAAGTGAGAAAAGCTAAGCCTCAGATTGTTTTCCGAACATAATTAAAATGTTATGAATACTGAAGTCAACAATTAACAAGGTTTAATAGGCATTGAGTTAAACATTTATTAATTTAAATCGCCACAGCTTCTTCTTTTTTTTTTTTAAGTCCAAGATCCAATATTTGTTATCGTTTTCAATTCTTAATCATTTCCTGGGCCTCTGGAAAACCAGAAACCCCAGGTACTGGCCTGCTGGTTTCTGATTCCTGAGAGGGTCCTGCTTTCTTCCTTGCCTAGTCGCTCCTTCCCACGAGGAGTTGGAATTTCTCCCTCCCAAACCCTCAACTCCCCAGCAGGTATCTGCTGTGTCTGTCCCTCCTGGGGCTGGCAGTACCCAAATCCGCAGACTGGGTAGCTTGTACCCAACAAATTTCTCACGGTGGCCACAGCTGACCAGCACAGCCAGTCTGGTTCTCTCCCAGGTCTGACGGGCTCCTGAGGGCAGAGAGCACCCGAGGGTCTCCGCGCCATCATCCTGACCCAGTATATGGGTGTGGCGCCATCATCAGCGTGAACAACTGGACAAGGGTCTAGTGGACCCTCCGGTCATGGCATGGCCACTGTGATCTGGGGCCATACTTCTGCCCATGTTACCCGCTGGTAGGGCCGTCAGAGGAAACACAGGATGCCACGCTCAATCCGACTTTCTCCTGGACAGCAAATATGACTTTTTTTTTTTTTTTTTTTTTTTCACAATATGTCCCAAATACTGCACAGCACACATGGACATGAAAACATTATTTGTTGTTGCAAATTTAGCCAAGCAGCCCGTTTTGATTTTTGGCTAAATCTAACAGCGGTGCCCTTTGGTCTTTTTATAGAAGGCTCTGAGAGCAACGCTCTTCACCTGGACTCTGGTTCTCAGAGTGACCCTAGTTCGGAACAGAAAGTCTCGGGACACACCCACACTTCCAGAATCGGAGCCTCTCAGGGTGCTAGCTTTCTGCCTGGTTGTTCTTTTTTTTTTTTAATGTCTTTTTTTATTGATTTTAGAGAGGAGAGGAGAGAAAAAGAGATAAACATCCGTGATGAGAAAGAATCATTGATCAGCTGCTTCTTGCAAGACCCCTACTGGGGATCAAGCCCACAACCGGGCCATGTGCCCTGACCGGGAATCTTAAGTGTGACCTCCTGGTTTATAGGTCGATGCTCAACCGCTGAGCCATATCGGTGGGGATAACTTTCTGCCTTTTGACATCGCTCCTGGTGACTGCTGGGAGCTGTGGTTGTAGGGCCAGGGACTTAGAGAATGATGCTGATGGTGGGAGATCCCAGGCTGCCCCTTTCCCCTCCCCCTCCACTTCTCCCCACTCCTGCCCCCAAACCCTCTCCAACACATTTGATCTGCTCCCTCAGGGCATGGGACTCCGCAGTGACACACACGATATCAGGGATGGTCCAGAGTCTGTTTCTTTGGGATTCTGTGGCTTCCGACACGATGGCAGTGGCTTGTACGTGCAGAACGCCCTTGGCGCTGGGCCTCAGGGCGCTGCTCTAAGCCGCCCGCCCGATTCGTCCCGGGCCTGCAGGAGCCCGTGAACCAGAGAATCTACTCTCCCCGGAGCTGCCAATCACGGCGCGGGGCGGGGCCGGCGGCGGCCACGTGTGCGCGGGAAGCAGGAAGTGACTCGGGAGCCGGCGAGCGGCGGCGGGCCGATGGCCGTGGAGAGGGGGCGTGAGAGGGCAGCCCAGTGAGTCGGCTTCTCCCTCCTTCGGCGCCGGCGGGCGGGGGGCCGGGGCCTCGGGGCCGGCGCTAAGGGCCTGGCAGGGCCCCCGGAGTTTGGAGGGAAGTGCCCCGGGGCCAGGAGGGGCCGGAGGAAGGCGGGGCGGCTGTGGCAGGTGGCGGAGGAGGGAGAAGGGGGCCGAGCCGGGGGGTGTGGACCCGCCTCCCTGGGCCGGTGGTTCCCCAGGACCCTCCCCGTCCAGCTTCACGCGGGGTCCCCGCAGCCCTGGGAGCCCAGGCGGCTGGGATTCCGGCTGCTCGGCGCCCCTTTCGCCGGCCCCGGAGGTCAGCGCGCCTCCTGAACTTGGCCGGGACCCCGGTGCAGGTGCCGCGGGCCCGGGGCTGTGCATTTCCGACCCGCTCCCCGGGGTCAGCTGCTCTGCGGTCCACAGGGTCTCACAGTCCCAGCAGCCCACCCCGAGCCATTTCTGTGGACCGCCCCGTGGAGTCCGGGCCGTGTGTGCACTCAGTCTGGCCAGCATCTTGCAGCCACTCTGGGAAGCAGAGCAACAGGAGGGAGAGAGAAACACCCTGGGTCTGTGGTAGAGTGCATCCATGGGGTGGTGGTAGGCACCTTTCAAGTTGGGGTGGGCAGAGAAGACCTCCCCTTGCCAGCTAATCAAGGTTCAGGTATGGCATCCAGCTCCCAGGGAGACTGAGCCCCATTGTTTGACACGCCCTGTCCCCACCGTGTTTCTGGTCTACCTGCTGGAGAAACAAACGCTTTGTTCCCTTGGGACTCTGTAGCCCTGCAGGAGCATGGTTTCCTTTTAGCTCTGAGTCTTGAAGTTGTTCGAGGCCAGTGGTCGGCAAACTCATTAGTCCACAGAGCCAAGTATCAACAGTGCAACGGAGAGCCAAGTTTTTTAAACTTAAATTTCTTCTAACGCCACTTCTTCAACATAGACGCGCCCAGGCCGTGGTGTTTTGTGGAAGAGCCACACTCAAGGGGCCAAAGAGCCGCCTGTGGCTCGCGAGCCGCAGTTTGCAGACCAGGGTTCTAGTTTCTTTTTATGTTTGGTGCAGTCGCTAGCCTGAGTTCCATTAGACTGTGGGGGGACAGCCGGGATCTATAGGTGCTGACTGATGTGGAGGTTGCCTGGCACCGGCTTCCTCACCTGGACCCACTCCTTCCAGGGTTTGAATCTGGTTATGCTGCTGAGCCCCGGGGCCTACGGGCCCTTACACCCTCCATCAGGGTTTCCTTTCAGGGTCAGTAGAGAGAGGCAGCGAATTGACCCAGGGTTGCCGGGCCTGGCAGCCGGGCCTGGCAGCCGAGCCCAGCCGTGTGGGAGCTGGCAGACCAGGAGGAGTTGAATGGGCCCTTTGAGAAGAGGTGGCCCCGGCCCCGATGTTTGTGTACAGAACACTGGGCTTTTCAGCACGTGGGTTTCTCCGCCTGTAACTTTCCACAGCGAGAGTCCAGAGCTGGGGATGACATCCTCAAGTCGAGAGGAAGTTCCCTGAGCAAAAACCAGAGTGGAGGGTCCTTCCCTTCCGTCCCTCGGTGGGCAGTGGTGTAACCACAGCTTCTGCGGTTGGCTGGGGGCCGTGTCACGTACGGCTCCCTTTCCTGGTCCTCACTGCTCACTGTGTGTCCTATCAAGATAAGCTTGTCCAAGGTGCCATAAATAATTCGGCAGGCGTTTTTTGCCAACTGTGGAAAAAGCATCATTCCTGTTCTTAGGCAGCGAATGATGTGAACGGTGAAGGAGGCAGGGACGGGAGTGGCGAGGATCGCCACGCGTGGAATCGAAGTTGGCAGTAGTGGGCAAACAGGGCACCCTGGATGCGATGGCTGGAGGCTGGGAAAGAAGGGATTCTGGGAAGGAACCATGTGTAGAGAGACGTGGGGCAGGACCACGGGGGCTTGTCCCAGGTGCCATCAACGATTCAGTTGAACTGGTGCCCATCCAGGGCATGCTGGTGATGGCAACGCAGGCTTGAATTGTCGGTGGGCTCCTTGGAAGTCATTTGGTGGAGAATGCCCGTGGCAGGCCACGGGAGCTCCCAGGGGGAGCCGTCGAGGTTGGATCAGGGCGAAGTGGATGACTTTCTAGAAGGAACCTGGGCTACTCCTGAATTTGGAGAAGAGAGAACCGATGATTCTAATCAAGGTACACGCAGACCCAACCACGGGGCCAAGACTTCCTGGGAACTAGATGGTAATACTTGAACCTTGATTAGATTGCAAGAGCAGGAGGGGCAGACAGAATGGGCGGGAAGGCTACCCTCAGACCCTCCCTTCCTCCAGCTCATAATCCACATTCTTGGAGCTTCTTCCTGGGAGCTATTTCCCAAGGTCATCACATCCCTCCTCCCAGAGTTAGATGATTTCACAGAGGGATGCGTGGTGGACAGTTGCATACACCAACCCAGTCACGCCAGCCCAGGTGGAGGGGGTCAGAGCTCAGAACACGTGCGAGTCACCAAAAGGGACCGCGGGCACCGCGGGCACTGACCCTGTCGCTCCTCTGCACACAGCCGCATCCAGCATGCTCCGAGGCCACAGCGCCGTGTTCCAGGCCTTGCTGGGGACCCTCTTCACCTGGGGGCTGACGGCAGCCGGGGCGGCTCTCGTGTTCATCTTCTCTAGTGGGCAGGTGAGTTGTCCTGGGTGGGTTCTGGGAGGCCGGGGGACTCTCAGCAGGCTCTGGAGCACCAGCTCCCACACACAGGGTGGCCACGCCTCCAGGCTGTGGGTGGTGCTCGTTCTCTCCTCTCATGGCCTCCTTTTCCCTCCCAGCCTGGGGAGCAGGTGACCCTGCCTCACTCTCTGAGGGGGGAGGGAGGGGCCGGGCATTCAGTCTCCTGGAGCCCCTGGCCTGTTTCTGTCCGTTTTCAGTCCCTCCCAGGCTGGGGCAGTAGGTTGGGGGAGGGGGTAACTGCCCTGCCCTGTGGCCTTGAGTTATCTGGATGATTGGAGAGACCTTGGGGAGAGGAAGGGTACCTATCCCCTCTCGCTCCAAATCCAGGACTCCTCATTCCCTCCAAAACTTTGGGATAAATACACTCAAACCCACCTCACCCCTACCCGTTTTTACTCAGCCTTATGCCCCTACCCACTCATGCACCCTGTATCCCCTGTACCTTCCCATCTGTCTTTCCCCCCCTTCCCCCACTTACCTTCCATCCCTCCACACTCCCACCCCTCCACAGATACCCCTTTCACCGCACCCTCATCCAGAACCCACTCTGCCCCACCCCCATTCCACGTGCCCCACCTCTCTCCTCCCCAGCCCATGCCCACCTCCTGGGCCTGAATTCCTTACCCTCTTCAACCCTCTACTCCCTCCATCCCCTGATCGCTTGATGATCTTCGAAATGGAAGGCATGCTAAGGCATCAATGATCTCAGATCTAGTTAAACACACTGTGGGGCCGATCTGGAAACCACACCATGTCTGGGAAGTTGGCGAGCAAGTCATGGTGGTGTCAGAGACCAGTTCAGCGGGTATTGATGTCAGCGATAAGATCAGACCTCCCCCTGTGCCCCACCTCTTCCCTCCCCAGGGAGGCCTGGAGACCAGCACACAGCCATGTTTCACTATCTGAGGTCACTGTCCTTAGATAGTGAAACATGGGAGCCGCCAGAGGACCGGGAACCAGGTTACCTGACCCCTCCTGGTTCTGCACCTGGGCCCCCCGGGGCAGAGCAGCTCAGGCTGTCCCCTCTACCAGCTCCTTTTGCTTTGAGAAGCTGAGACCTGCGCACTGGGTCTCGTTGGCCATGGGTCCGAGTTCAGTGCAGCACTGTGATGAGGAGGACCTCGCAGCCCCGTGTGGCCTGGGCCAACGCTGTGGGCTCTTCAGAAGTGGGGAGCCATCCCAGAGGGGCTACTTCCTCTTGGGAGCTGGTCAGGAGGAGGAATTGCTGAGACCTTTCCTGGTGTGGAGGCATATAGGCCATTCCCAAGACCACCCACCCATCCGCTGACTCACTAGAAGGACCCACCCGGCTCGGCATGACAGGACACGCAGCGAAAGGACACTCAGCAGGCTCAGCGAGGGAAAGGCAGGCAGATTGCATTCAGTTTGACAAGGCGTCTTATACACGGAAGTCAGCGAGGAGGGAGCTGCACAGGTGCGTCACTGCCCAGGCCTTGTCAAACAGGCTTCCTCCAATCATGAGCCTTATTGTTACTGACGTCAGCTGATGCCGTAATTGAAGGTGGAGGAGGAGAGTGTGCAGATGCAACAGGACCGGAGCGTTCTCACCCCATAAAGATGTCAAAAAATAAAAAAAATGATTAATACCCGTAAGCTATTGTCTTACTCTGCAAAACTCAAACGGAATGCAATCTGCTGTGCAAAAGAGCATGGACAGAGAGCTGCAGAGAGACCATTTGGATCTCCTCCCACTCCCTGTGTGATCAAACAGTGAGAAAACAGGAAGAACAGCTCCTTAGGATGCCAAAAAAGAAGGCCTTCAGAGGAAAACCAGCAAAATGTTTAAAATATTGATTTATTAATTTTGGATTGGAAAAATACAGTACGTGGTATGTTCTCTTGGTGTCTGGCTGATTTCACTCCATTTATTTCCCGGTTTCCTGGCTGTGCACTCCATCCATATGCATATTGTGTTCTTGTTACCAAATGGTATTCTGTTGTATGAACATATCCTAATGATGTACTACCCGCTTGGGTAGTTTTTAGTTTCCGGCTCTCACAAACAGCGCTGCCAGGAGCGTTTCTGTACAGGAGCTTGGTGACTTCGAGTGTGTGTTCCTGTTAGGCAGTGACTCAGGAATGGCATCCCTGAGTCACGTGGTCACTGCCAACGGCTGTGCCAGTGTGTACCCCCACCGGCAGCATGTGTGCATGCTCCTCACCAGCGCTTGTCAATGTCCATCTTTGAGGCCAGCGGCTCCCTGAAGGCTCACAGTCGTAATTCACAGAAAGAGGCAGCACGTGGGCCAGTGCAAGTGGGCCGCCCCCAAAGAAGACTCTTGATTGGCCGTGGGGTGGAGGGGAGGGTAAACATTTCCCCCAGCTGATTTTTGGCCCATTTTATAAAGGCTCGGATTCCGGTGGATTTGATCCAGGTGTGGGTAGGTCTTGATTCACGTGGCTCTCTTAAAGGTTATGGTTCCCCATCGTCCCAGGAATTATCCCTTAGAAACTGAAACGTCTTGTTTTCATTTGCAGAGGCGGATCCTGGATGGAAGTCTTGGCTTCGCTGCAGGGGTAAGCGGCCTGTTACAGAAGGAATGTAAATTGAGGCGCGTTTACTGACATTTCTCTGCTGACGGGCTGTTCCGGTCTCCCCGTGTGACCAGGATGCATCTCTGATGTCCGGGTGCTAGGGACTCCCTTTTGTCACCAATCCGGTTTATTCCCGGTGTGTGTTTAGGGACCCGCCTCTCTTTAGACAGCGAAAGGAGCTTGTTGGGCAGCTGGCCGAGGACTAGGAAGGGCACTAATTAAACATCTCTTTGTCTCCTCCCCTTCCCTGTAAAAGACCTTTTGACATAGCCATTTTCAAACATGCAGAAAAGTGGAGAGAATTCTCTGATGCAAGCCAGGTCCCCGTCAGCCAGCTTCAGTCGTTATTACATTTTGCTGATCTCATTTCATCTGTCTTCCCCCAACTTTCTTGGGAGGTGGAAATAGTTTGTAACAGCACCTGTAAATCCAGTACGCCCAGAATGCCTTGTATTCCTTTAAAAATATGTTTTTATTGATTTCATAAAAGAAGGGAGCGGGAGTGAGAGATAGAGAGAAACATCAACAATGAGGGAATCATTGACTGGCTGCCTCCTGCACAGCCCCTACTGGGGATCAAGCCCACAACCCAGGCAGGTGACCTGACTGGGAATCAAACCGTGACTTCCTGGTTCATAGGTCGACGCACCCAACCACTGAGCCACACCGTCCAGGCTGCCTTGTATTTTTGTAAGCACAGTCACCAAGGCTTGAACAATAATTCATTATTATTTTAACAATAATACACCCAGCCCGCATCTCCTGCGAGCTGAGTCCCCAGTGAGACCTAGAGGCTGGATGAATTGGGATTCCGATTTCCGGGCCTGAGCATACCATGGTGGTGCTGTGTGTTTCAGCCGTGTGAGTCCCATCATGAGACGTGTGACCTGCAATTTCCCCTTTGGTTGATTGGGATGTATAGTCCTTTCTCCTGTTTTAATAGTCCTGTGATCTGCAAACACTAGCCTGAGGTGGAACCCCCTCGTACCTGCCTTTCCCCCCTTTCAGAGGCCCTCTGAGTCAGCAGCTCCATTGAGGGCACGTGGGGACACGCCCGGAGTTACACAGGTACCCCCAGAGTGTTAACAGAGTCAGATCCGGGTCCTCGGCTCCCAGTTTTGTCCTCTTTCTCAGCGCTCCCCGGCCAGAGAGGCCCCGACTGACGGCTGGTGCTCCCTTCCCCGCCCCCCTTGCTCAGTCGCCCCCTCCCATTTCACAAAAGAAAGGCACGTCCTCACCTGATTTCCGTGTCTCTGGGTGGCTCGGTCTCTGCACAGAAACAGGGACCCCGAGGGCTGGGGAGGAGACAGTGTGGGATGTGTCGCTGCTCGCTGCCCGAGGGTCCTGGAGCAGTTCCGCTGCCGTCCTGCCCTTTGATGTGAGTCTAATCCAATTGTTGGCAGAGCGGCCCTCAGAGGCAATGTCCACGATGGGCCACAATGAGATTTGGGGCTGTAACTTGGAAGGAGTTCAGAGAACAAAATGACATTATTATAACAAAATACCTACTTTCCCCATCTTCCGTTAAATAAGGGATAAGACGAAGTAAACTAGAAATAAATTGATGCCTCACTGTCTTATAGCAATGGCTACTTAGTATTTATCCACAAGTAGAGGAACAGTTGGAAAAAAAAAAAAAAGACAAGGAAAAAGTCTCATCCGGGAAAATGTGCATTTTCAAGCATATTTTCCTTTAATAATGGTAAATCATGTATTACATTGTTGTTGTTATGAATCTGTTCTCTAATGGTGGTAATGGTAACTCAATCCAGGAAATTGTCATTTAAGCAGATAGAGCCCTAAGGCTCACAGGAAATTAAAAAAAAAAAAAAAGGAATTGAAATATATGTAAATATATTGGAGAGAGGTATGATAAAGGCCTCAATAATAGACTCTCTCGCCTAAAATCTGAGGTGCTCGCAGGTAAAAGTCTATGGGGAAATGTAATTAAATCCAAGCCAGAGAAAATGACGCAAATTTTTCGCCTTTTGAAAAGCTCGCCTGTGCTTGGGATGTGTGTAGAGTAGAACCTGCGGACAGGAATGTAGTATGGAACGCAAGCGCACAGCTTTGTCGTATGAATTTTTAGGGGCATCACAGCGGGACTCAGGTCCTGGTGCTGTTTAGATACAGATGCATGGCTGGTCAAATGGTTTTGTGTAAACACACCAATATTTGTGCCCCAGAAATGATGTCCTTTGCAACTCCATAAACACAGGTGAAAGCCTTTTAAATGTCAATTTCAGGTGAGTGATGGGGGTACCTAGTATATCAACATCCTTGCAGGGGCCACACAGACAGTCTTCATGCTTCTGCCCAGGCACCAGGGGTCCTGTTCTGCTCCACTCCTTTAGGCCAGGCACACTCTAAGGTTTTCGTTGCCAAAGATATAAAACAGCAGGAAACAAAGAACCAAAACCAGAGAGCATTTGTCTCAGGACATGGAGGAACGAATTTGGGAGCAATAAAATGCAAACACTTAAGATGTATCTTCCTTCAAACCATCATCAGACCGGTGTATTACTGTGTTCACTTAGCTGTGAGCATCTAAAAAAAATTTACTTTTCTTTTTCTTCTCCAATCCTTACCTGAGAGAGGAAGGAGAGAAAGAGAGAGACAGAGAGAGAGAGAGAGACAGACAGACAGACAGACATCAATGTGAAAGAGAAACCTCAGTTGTCTCCCACGTGTACCCTGATCGGGGATTGAACCCGCAACCTTCTGGTGTATGGGATGATTCTCCAACCAAATGAACCACCCGGCCAGCGCTAAAACAGTTTTACTTAAAAAAAAAAAAAAAATATATATATATATATATATAAAATATATATATATATATTTTATTGATTTTGTACAGAGAGGAAGGGAGAGAGAGAGTTAGAAACATCGATGAGAGAGAGTCATCGATCAGCTGCCTCTTGCACACCCACTACTGGGGATGTGCCCGCAACCAAGGTACATGCCCTTGACCGGAATCGAACCCAGGACCCTTCAGTCCCCAAGCCGACGCTCTATCCATTGAGCCAAACCCGTCCCGGACAGTTTTTTGATTTTTAAAGTAGTTGGGGGGAGGAGGGGGATTCTGAAAGTTATTTATGTGTTTTTAAAAAAATCAGAATAGGCCGAGACCGGTTTGGCTCAATGGAAAGAGCGTCAGCTTGGGGACTGAAGGGACCCGGGTTCGATTCCGGTCAAGGGCATGTACCTTGGTTGCGGGCACATCCCCGGTAGTGGGTGTGCAAGAGGCAGCTGATCGATGACTCTCTCTCATCGATGTTTCTAACTCTCTATCTCTCTCACTTCCTCTCTGTACAAAATCAATAAAATAAAAAAAATCAGAATAGGAGTAATTTCTTTTTCTAAAATTGACCATGAATGTGAGCTCGCTGCACAGAGGTGCCCCTGCAGGCCACCGGATGCACAGAGGAGAGGCAGAGCGCCTTGTGGAAGCAGCGGGGTGAGGTGGACTCAGGACCCCTCAGAGGCCCTGGCGATGGGCGTGGTTCTCACAGATGCTTCCTGAGCTCAGGAAAGGCGGCGGGGCCAGGTGGCCGGAGCTGTGAGGACTGCGTGTGCTCATCATGGAATCACGTGTGTTTAATGTAGCTGATCTGTGGGGCAGAACAGCGGTTCTCAACCGGTGGCCATGTTGCTCCCCAGGGGACGGTTGGCATGTTGGGTTGTCACAACTGGCGTCTAGTGGGTAGAGGCCAGGAATGCTGCTGCACACACACCCCACAGTACACAGGACTCCCCCCCAAAGAATCACCCAGCTCCTAGTGTGAGTGTGCCAAGCTGAGCAGCCCTGGTCTAGAGCATTCTGATGTGTCATCTCCAGTCAGTGTGGCACGTCTAAAAATTCAGGTGTTTTCCACGTTTAAAAGAAGAAGAAAGCCCCTCGCTTCCCAGAGGTCAGCAGTGTTCCCCAAGCGTGCTCCTTGGAGAGTTTTTATTGTTCACTTACAGAGCGTTAGGGCGGCTCACCGGGCCATGGTGCCCGGGTCCGAAGGACTCTGCATCCCCAGGACGCCTCAAGTACATGTCTCAGAAAAGCGAAAACCAGCCATCCGTCAGTTGCCTGGGGTCCCTTGGCACCTTGCACAGGTGTGACATGTTCCTAGGGTCAGCTGTGCATACGGTTACATGTATGTGTTGAATGTGCATGGACATACCTATCTAATATGATGCTGCGGTGACATTTGCACAATATTGACTGTGCCCTGAAGCAAGGATTTCTGTAAGAGAAATCCCTGGCATAAATGTTCTGTGCATTTGAAACGGGCTTCACAACATGCTTTACAGTTTGTTTGCTTTTCGCATTAGCAGGGCCTTGGGAGCATGACCAGTCCTCCTTAAATGACTGTTCTTCAAAGCCATTTGCTTGTTTGTCTCCTGACTCCTTAAATCACGGTCCAAGCCTCTAGTAATCACTATCTTTTCCTTCCCAGTGCCCGGGCCTGGCCTGGATGTTTGCCTGAGGCCTGGAATCAGTGGGGAGGGAGGCTGCCTTTAGAAACAAGAAGATGGTCATTATTTCCCATTAGAGTCCCCCAGCAACGCAGCCTCAAAGCTGGAGGAGGCTTTAGATGACGAAGAAAGCTAATATTGTTTGTCGCGTCCTCACTACGGACAAGGTGCTCTGGCAAGCACTGAGATCATCTCATGTAATGTTCCTAAGGGCTCTATGAGGCGCGTACCAGGTGTGATTATGTACCCCCATTCTACAGATGAGGAAACTGAGGCACAGTGACTATTAACAAACCAGAGGCCCGTTGCAGGAAGATTCCTGCAATAGGGCTTCCTGCTGTGGTCATTGCCCCGCCTGCTTTCCTCCCTTCTCAACCCAGATCCGGCCCCATCTGCTTCCCTTCTCCCCCACCCAGCTTGCTTGTTTCTCCAAAGCTTCGCTCCCTTCTGCAGCACTTACCTTCTTTCTACTCTGTCTTCAGCCTTGCGCTCTGGCCTAGGTATGCAAATTAATC